TCTGAGTCCCTGATGCTCTTCATGAGAGTGCTGCAGCTCTCACTCACAGCAGTGCCCACTGGAGCTCCYTGTGATGGGAGGAAGGGCAGGTGAGACCCTGTCATGAGCAGGTGCTGTGAGCTGGAGACTGCCAGGAACTGGAGGGGGAATCCTGCTGTGGGACAGTGCCTGGTGCTTTGTATTTTCATCAAAACCAGATGTCAATCAAACATGTCAGTCAGTTCTCTCAGTTTTTTGGGCCCATCATTCTCCTAATCTTCCCCATGCCTGGTGCAGGGTTGGCTTGGCGGTGAGGGATCCCCTGTTTTGCTTGGGGAAATTGAGTCAGGTCCCACATCACGTGTGGCTGCAGTGGGAGTAAAACTGAGCTCTAGAGCTGGTGCTGCTTATCGTCTTGTTCAGACTCTTGATTTGATTAAAAGTTGGCTATCAAGTTTCATCTTGCACCACATGTGATTTTTCCTCACTCTTTACAAGTCATGGGGAGGAGAAGGACAGCTGTTTATCCTGGAAAGTTGGAGCCCTTTCCTCTTTGGGTCACTGTGCTTGGAGGACACCTCCCTGCCTGGCCCAAAAGTTGCTCAGGCTGAGTAAAGCCTTTGTGGGCTGGTAAATGGGAGCTTAAAAAYCAAACAAAGCCAAAAGCTTAATTCAGGGAGAGGAGGCCTGACCAGTGAGTGCAGCCTCAAAGGGGACAGAGTCAGAACCCTGAGCACTGTGATGGTTTCTCCACACTGAGTTGCAGATGCTCCACAATGGCATTAAATGAGCTCCAGGAGAGGTTGTGAGAGTCGTGCTGACGGTCTGAGCATCTCCTGTTTGATCTATAAACCGAGGTTTAGTTTGTGCTGGGGCTGACCATGGAGCTCCCCTGTCCTGAGGGCTGTGTTGGGCAGGAATCTGAATTTTCCTCATGAATAGGGAAGCAGTAGCCAGAGCAGGGGTCCTTGGTGAGTGCCTTGTTGCTGCTGGAGACACCAGTGTCTCTGTGTGTGTGCTGACACCGAGCTCCTTTCAGAGCTGGGACACGGACCTGGAGGYCCATGCTCAAATCTATGCAAATGCATGCATCTGGGGCCAGAATGGGGGCAACACATGGAAAAACTTCTTTGCTACGGCTTCAACCCTGGACATCAAATTTGCCATTGAAGAATGGAACGAGGAGAGGAAGTTCTACGACTTGACCACATCCACGTGTGTCCCTGGGCAGATTTGTGACAACTACACACAGGTACCGGCTGCTGGGGTGGAGGGGTTCTTGGGAAAAGAGCTGTTCCAGNGTGACATGCCCTCCTGTCTGTCACTGTTGGATCCAGCCCTGGCTCTGTCCAGGAGGGTTTCCCCCCAGGACCCCCTTCCAGCAGCCAAGCTGCTCTCTCCATCAAGGACGGTCCAAACAGCTGCAGCGGAGGATTCCGCTGCGAGAAAAACTCTCCACCTTCTCCTCCTCCTCCTCCTTGTTCTCTTCCTGCACACCCCTGTGGCCAGGGGACTCAGCTAATGGCCTGGAGGCTCAGCTGGTGCTCCAGAGGGGGCTCCTGGCCAGCAGCCAGACAGCCACATCTCGGATCCAGACAAACAGATGATGTTTCCCAGGAGCGTGTGCTCCCWGGCTTTGTGCAGCTGCCAGCAGAGCTGTGTCCCATTCCCCTCCCACCCCCACCCTGGGCAGGAGGGATGGCCCCAGCCCCTCTGGCATCACCTGGGGTGGGTTTCCTTCCTTTCTCCAGCCGACTTCATGGTTTCTCCACGTTGAGTTGAAGATGCTCCATGATGGCATTAAATGAGCTCCAGGAGAGGTTGTGAGAGTCATGCTGATGGACAGAGTGTCTCCTGTTTGCCCTATAAACTGAGGTTTAGTTTGTGCTGGAGCTGACCATGGAGTTCTCCCATCCTGAGGACTGTGTTGGGCATGAATCTGAATTTTCCTCATGAATAGGGAAGCAGTAGCCAGAGCAGGGATCCTTGGTGAGTGCCTTGTTGCTGTTGGAGAGCCCAGTGTCCCTGTGTGTGTGCTGACACCGAGCTCCTTTCAGAGCTGGGACAAGGAGCTGGAGGATCTTGCTCAATCCTACGCAGARAAATGCATCTGGGACCACAACAAGGAGAGGGGCCGACGGGGGGAAAACCTCTTTGCTATGGCCCCAATGCTGGAACTGGAATTTGCCGTGGAAGACTGGAATGGGGAGGAGAAATTCTACAACTTGACCACATCCACGTGTGTCCCTGGGCAGATGTGCGGCCACTACACCCAGGTACCAGCGGCTGGGGTGGAGGGGTGGCTGCTCACAGAGCTGGGTGCTGGCTTTTCTTAGGCAGAGATGAAGTCTGAATTTCTTCTTGGCTTGGGTGGGAGCAGAGAGGGTGATGGATCCTGAATGCCAAAGCAACRCGGGAGTGTGGGATTTGGGGCACACTCTGTGGGATGAGCAGGACACAGGAGCAGCCTTTAAGGCCAGGGACAGGCTGCCTCCACCCAATCCCCTCACCTCCACCCCTGCTCTCTGCTTTAGGTGGTCTGGTCGAGCACGCATCAGGTCGGCT